TGCCCAGAAGGGGCCGCCTCACAAAGCGCCCACATCCTCTCCAGGGATGCTGGGGAAAGACCAGACCTCTGTGAGTCACTCCTGGGAGGGGTTTGGCCTTCCCACCTCATGGCCTTTTTCCCCCCTGCCAGGGAGCTGTGCCATGTCTTGGTCCCCTTCTGTTCCCGCACTGCATTCTGCCTGCTCCGGCCACACAGCAGGGCAGAGCCGTGCTGGGATCTGCCCGTCCTGGCATTCCTGGTGGAGGTGAGCCTGTTGGCCAGCGCTGCCTCCCAGCTCTCTGCCCTCTCGCAGCCGCAGCTGCCTGGGACGGTGCCCACGCCCTGTGCTGCTGCCTGGGCCCCGCCCTGTGCGGTTCTGGGCTCTTGCCGGCCGGGTCCCCTGTCACTGCCCTGTGCCTTTCAGGTCCTCGGGTGCCTGGACTTGAGAGAATGTGGCGACAGCCTTCTGGAGATCATGTCAAGGCACCTGTGGAGCGAGTGCAGGGAGCGGCGTCGCCTGGCGCTCCGAGGCCTCGTGGTGCTCACCAAGGATCCCTCGATGGTGAGGAGGAGGCAGCAGCTGAAGCTGCGCTGGGCAAAGCAGCCCCTTGGGCTGGCAGGGCTTCAGGAGCTGAGGCAGCTGCTCCCAGCTCTCCTGCCTCACCTGCCCCAGTGCTTTGGGACAGGCCTTTGGCCTGTGGGCCCTGCAGCAGCAGGGTGGGCTCGCAGTGCCAGGGCGGTGTTAGCCGTGCAGCCGGCCACGGCTTCCCAGCACAGCCTTGTATTCCGCACAGGCCAGAAGAATGCACCCTCTGTCTCCAAGGCTTCTGGAGCTGCTGGGGGATGCAAATGCAGAGGTGGTCAGCATGAGCCTCTGTGTGTTCACAAATGTCCTCCAGCACAAAGGCATCCTGGTATCCAGCACCACTACCCCGAAGCTCGCTGAGGCACTCCTCCTGCTCTTTGACCATGTAAGGCTCTGTGTCCACAGCCATGGGCACAGACTGCCCGCATACCCTTTTCCCTTATGGGTTTTCAGACATTGTCTCAGGTGAGCCTGGAATAATTGGTCTTAATGGTCTTATCCTCTTCTTTTCTAAAGGACAGCAGCAATGTGCACTTGATCTCTATTCAACTCTTTGACAAGATGATGCACTTGGTAGTGGATGAGGGAAAAAAGCCCTTGAAGAAGATTTTGTGTCAGAGCTTGCTCCCACTTTTCTTGTATTGCCATGAGGAGAACCGGCGTGTGGCGAAGGTGAGGTTTTGTGTGATGCTGCTGGATCTCTGGGAGGGGCCTGGGCTGCCTCCTGCCCTGGCGCCTGGCGGGCTGCAGCCTCCTCCAGGCCCTTGGCACAGGGACGCGGGTCCTGTGCCCTGGGCTGTGGAGCCATCTCTGGGTCCCTGCTGCTCTCCAGGCCTCTCGGGAAACGCTGCTTGGTGTGGCTGAGTTTCTGAAGAAGAGGAATCTCAGGAAGCTGCTGAAGAATGAGCAGCTGTCACAGTTTGCCGAGTGCCTGGTAAGGAGGGCTGGGAGGCCACAGCCTCAGCCTGGAGAAGCCCCCTGAGCGCGGTGCTCGGTGTGCAGGCTGGCAGCTGTGCCCCTCCCGCTGCTGCAGCCCGAGGCCGCGCAGGCTCTGCTCCAGGCTCCTGCGGGCCCAGCCGGGTGCCGATGGAGCCGCGGCCCGGCGGGGCTGCGGGGCGGCACCGCGGCTCCCCGGGCAGCAGCCGGCCCTCTGCCCCCTCCAGAGCCGGGCGCCAGCGGCTGCTGGCCGGGCCTCAGGGCTGTGCGGGCAGGGGAGGCCGGGGCTGGC